TTTAGCCACAAGAAGCCAGTATGAATTTCATAGATTTGCCTTATGAAAAATAATGTTGACAAACAAATAATAATTCTGAGCAGGACTGGAACCGAACCATGAACGATGAGATTACGAGGCCCATGTGTTGACCACTCGTCCTTCAACGCTTATGAAAATGAAATGGTTAAAAGCGTATAAGAGCTATCTAATATTACCCGAAAATCATTCATAAGTCACGCTTATGAAATTCATATGTGTTGTTCATAAGTCGAGCCTTATGAAATTCTTAAGTCTATTTACCTCAGTGTACCGAGGCTCGGTAGCTCAGTGGTTACCGTTTCTGCTTACTGAGCTGAAGGTCGGGAGTTCAATCCCAGGCCCGTCCCCTTCTTGCAATTTTTCACTTTGCCTTATTCTATTACCCACTAGATTTGAATGAAAACAAATTCTTCTTTAACACCGATCGCATCACTTACCACAGTGTGTGGGTCCTGATCTAAAAATAGAAATTCGATGAGTGCGCGCGCGCGTGTGTGTGTGTGTGTGTGTGTGTGTGTGTGTGTGTGTGTGTGTGTGTGTGTTGTGTATTATAATCGCTCTACCAAAAACGATCCCTGCGTGTGCGTGTGCAACCTTTCCCCACATCCAACATCCCAGTGATTTCTCGTGGAAGCGCAGAGGATTTCTCGGTTTCCTTCACAGCGAGTACCACGTCACAACACATTCCTTCCCATTCCCTAGTTAACCTGCATTCGGACACGGCCGGCGCTGGTATTGCTAAATATTAGATCTCCAGTTCTTACACATTGAGGATGAATGTTAGTCCCAAGCATCATCTGTTGGTTCTCTGTGTAATTGCAACTGATCTGGTAATAACAGAGCAGCAACCGTGGGCGGTCAATCATGCTTTTGCTTCATGCTTGCTTTTGCTTTCAAGTAAGGAGTTATCATAAAAAACAAATTGCCAGCTGGTATTTCCCGGCGACTTTACAAATAAATAAAATCAAACAAAATCATCATGCAGAACTAGCTAGGATTTGTTTTACTTCACGTTTCACAAAATTGCTTTCGAGTGTTAAGACATCGTCGCCCGCTTAAAAGTGACATTTCGAAAGTTATTTTCTATGTTTGAAAATCCCCGTGCTGTTGACCAACCGGTTTTCGAGCCAAGGTTGTCAAAATTTAACTTCTTGTCTGTCAGAAATAACCACGCTCGGATAGCAGGGTTAATCAATAACTTTTCATCTGTCAAATTTTAACCAAAAGTTTAAAAAATCCACAAAATGGTTCAGAGCCTGAATACACTTTAATACCAAAATGCTCAAAACTTAAAAATTCATATATAACAAAAAATCGAAAATATTCAAGTTGACAATCCCTTGGATTCTCTTCATCAACTTTCTCTTTGAAATAAATACTACAAATTTGATACGCTTACAAATAAAAAACGGAAAGAGTTAAGATAATTGATGATTGACCAATTAAAAGAACTAAATGTTTCCACTAGCGGTCCTATGTCAATATTCCGTTCGTGCCCCTAAGCACTACTACTTTTTTACATGGTCTTTTTAAACGGTTAGTGCAACTGAATCGCGATTTACACGGTCCGTTTTTAACAATTTCTCGACAACGATTAAACCTATCGACTTGATTCCAATCCGTTTCCGTTACAAGATATAGGTAATCGAATGGCATACGTTTAAAAAATCACAATTGTTTGTGTAAATACAGAAATTTTTAAGATTTGTCCATATGAACCATAGTATGCTTTAATTACGAATGGCATCAAAATCCGATTTTTTTTAAATATTAAGCATGTTAAAAATCAAAATCTCGGTAGGTTTTTTCACACGTTAAGGCTTGTACTCAAAAAAAATGCACCATTTTTATCCGTGTGTAACTTTTTTTATCCGTGGGTAAAAATTGATGAAAATCTGGGTATAACTAGTTTGGAGTGAATTGTTCACATGTGCAAAATTTTATAACAATCGGTTCAGTGGTTATTGAGATGTCATCGAAACAAGAAGAAAATCGCCGGAGAATTTTGCGCGCCGTCATGGAAAATCCAACTGCGACCATGAGATGGATCGGAAGACAACTGGGAATCACCCATACAACTGTGTCTCGGGTGGTAAAATCGTTTAAGGAGTCCCAGACGAACGAGCCGCGGGGTGGAAGTGGAAGACCCTGTGAAGGCCCGGAAGGTGTTGGATTATTTCAAGCGTAATCCGAACCATTCGATTCGCGACGCGGTTCTGAAGGCAAAGTGTTCCATGAACCATGAAACGAGCTGGGCTTCGTGTATTCAAGGTCCGGAAGGCACCGAACCGGCGTGATCAACAAAACACGGCGACCAAATCCCGCGCAAGGAAGCTGTATCGAGAGTGGTTAACGAAACCGATGTGTGTGGTTATGGATGACGAAACCTACATCAAGGCAGACGCAAAGCAGATACCGGGGCTGGAGTTCTACGTTGCCAAATCACGGTTTGATGTTCCGGAAGACATAAGGAAGAAGAAAGTGGACAAATTCGCCAAAAAATACTTGCTCTGGCAGGCCATATGCCAATGCTGTAAACTGAGTAAACCGTACATCACAAAGGGTACCATCAACAACGAAATTTACCTGTTGCCCTTCCTGCGGTCCCACGGAGGCGAGACATTATTTTGGCCGGACCTGGCATCATGTCATTAGGCGCGATCGACGTTGGATTGGTACAAAGACAATAACGTTGTTTTTGTACCAAAAACCGCCAACCCTCCAAATTCACCAGAGATTCGTCCGGTGGAAAGATTTTGGGCCATAATGAAGGCCAAAGTTCGAAAATCGTCCAAGGTGTTTAAGAACGAGCTGGAGTTGAAGAAAGAATGGATGAAAGTGACCAAAAAGGTCGGCTCCACCATTGCACAAAATGTAATGAGGGGTCTTAAGGGAAAGGTGCTGGCTTTCATCGATGGAAAGGAAATTAAATAAAGGAATTATGCCGAAACATAATCCATATGTGTTAGTTCATTCCCTGAAAGTTTCAAGAAAATCCGACTTAAAATAAATTTTTGGCGAACACTTCTGTCTGGTGGATTTTTTTCGAGTACAGGCCTTACATATCCTCCGTATAAAAAAGACCTGAGTGCACACTTAGAAATTATTACCGTATTCGGTAATTTTTTACCGAACTTTCAACAGCTGAACGTTTGGTAATCAGTTCGGTAAACGAAAAGACTACTGAACGATCGGTAAACAGATTTTTCGATGAACTGTCAAAACTACTGAACAATTCGGTATTTATGTACCGAACGATTCGGTTATTTTTTACCGACCTGTTCCGTGATACAAACATTGTTGATATTTTATATTTTTTGATTTTTTTCGGTGAATTTGAGTTTCAAAATCTTAACTATTTTTTATTCAGTAGATAAATTATATATTTATAATAATAATTGTACATATATTGCTCACTAAAGTGTCCTTATGGCAGGTTGCTGTTTTCGTGGCGATGCAGTTCAGAAACAGTACGGATCTTGACTGCTGATCAGGGATGGATTGCTTTTTTGGAACTTTCTCGTTACTTCCTTATTTAGAATGCTTACGTTAAATCCAATGGAATTTTCAGTTAACCCATCTTAAAAAATATAGTTAGTGCTATATTAATCTCCCTATCAAAATTCAAAATTTCCGCACCACAAAGCCACACTCTGGTGAGGTAATATTTTGACAGTTGAGTGTGGTACCCTACAAGAGATAACCCTTCATCCATTGATTTAACGTTGGCCTCTGTTCCGCAATCTAGTGCCAATCACCGACGGACATCGATTGCCATCCATTGACGACCGAATGTGCAAGAAGGCAACTTCCACACCTGCGTAGGATATCTCACCCATTGAAACACACATGCTTTACTTCCCTTCCGAAGGAAGACGTGATCAGAGATTTTTATGCCTCAGAAAATTCCCACCGACCTCGGTTGGGATTGAACCCAGACCCATTGGGATGATAAAGCAGTCACGTTTACCACTACACCACCGGCGCCGACGCATAACTGAGTTCTTGGCATTAAATTCTACTGAGATCTCAGCAAACATGGCGTTTGTTTGCTGAAATTCAGAAAAACATTTTCCGAACAGCGACCAAGCGTCACTTTTGCTGAGATCTCGGGAAAATGTGGTTTCTGGGAGATTCGCGAAACAAAATTAAGCGTCTATGTATTTCCATTTTTTTATACAGGAAACTACTAAACTGTTACTGAAATAGAGGGAACCTGCCCCTCTCCGACTATTTTCTTAAATCCTCACAACTTTCACTAGTTCAAGTAAATTGATAAATGTTCGGAAATCATGTAGAAGACGATGAAGGTAAAGCGGAAAGTATCCAAAAACACCATTCATATGGAAAAATGGGTGTATTAAAATTTGCAAAACGGCAAATGAAACAGGTGTGCGATGGTTGATTAACCGGCTTGCGGGAATAGTTTGGCAATTTATTAAAAATAATTACCTGTTTTTTTAAATACTCATAAAATTATTTTTTTTTTAATCTCAAACCAAAATACAAGCAATAACATAACAATAACATTTGTAAATGAAGTATGCTTTAGCAATCGAAAATTGGCCAAAAAATAGAATTTTGTACAGATATGAAACATGTTTACAGCAAATTTCTTCAATTTAAAGTTTTGAAACATAGAAATGAAGCATGAAAAGTCTTCTGTAAATATTCACAAAATAAACGAAAAAAAGAAAACCCATCCTGTTTTTGATTCTCCAACTCATAGGAATAACGGAAATAAGAATATTTTACATCGAACCACTAGGTGAGTCGATTCAAAATTGTTTTCTTGTTTCATTACAGACAGTGGTTCACTACATCTGATGGCGATCAACGACCACCAGCACCGCCACCACCACCACTATCACCATTGCAGATTACTCGGAAAATCTCTATTTTCAGTCTCAGATCTGGGCCAAACAGTAACAACAGCAGTGCTAGTAGCAACAAGATAACCGCGGTGCGCAAAGCTTTCTCTCCCGACTCGAATTGCCACCAGTTCAGTTGGTCGGTTGGTCGGTCGGTCGGTCGTTCGGTCAGTTGGTGTGGGAAGAAAACGCAGCATTTTCTACTGCGCACAGACGGCGCGATAAGAACTAGTCGAACTTTTCCCTGATCTGTTTCCTGACTAACCATCACGAGAGGGAGAGAGAATTTCACGCACTCGGCTTGATCGTGTGCAGACCAGTAGTACGAATCGTGCGTGCGTGCGTGACAGACGGTGATGATGGCGTCCGAGTGAATGGGAACGTGATCTGTATTCAAATCAGCGCTGCAAGTGGTGCTTATTTTTGGAAGCAGTTTATGTGTAACAATTGGTGTGCTCTTGAGCGAGATTTTATGTTTCTTTGGAAATCGTCGAAAATATTCAAAATCTTTGAGTTTGGAAAAGTCTTTTCAGAAGAAAATTTTCCACTTTTCAAATGAATCACTTCTTGTCGGCAGAAAATGTCTTGCAGTGAAATTGAATAAATCGGCTCGGTGCGAATCAGTGCATTGTCCCAGAGGATTATTTTTACAGCGCTCCCGGCTCACTTCGTAAATAACAGTGAAAAGTTATCTGTATTTTCATCAATTTCAGCCGGTTTACGATTCGCGACGTTGGAGCGTTAATTTTTCTTCTTTTATTTAGGAAACTACGGATCGAAAAGGCAAAAAGAAGAAAGTGAATAAAAATGTGACTTTCAATCTCACGATACGACGTTTGATGAGATATCAGATAAGTTTGAATGTTCAAAAATAAATCTCCACCATAGTGAATAGCGTACATAGGTGAATTACATTGTGAGCAGTGGCAAGGTGCATCCATTCGGAAGAGAGTCAAAAGTGTGATAGAAGTGGGTCAAGCCGAAGAAAAATCCCAACACTGTTCAGTGAACGAGGTGAAAATCGTTTCATTGCCTAGGAATTAACCAAACCCACTTGAAAAGTGTTCAAACGGCTGCCAATCAACAATTTGCCAACATAAATTGAGCGTGAAGCGCTCCGTTATAAGCAGTTAAGAAAAATGTCCACCTCATCGATTGGTCGCGAGGAGGAGCGGAAACCTCTAATGGAGGAGTTCTACCGGCAACGGCGGATACTGCTCGGATGCACCCTGCTGATCGGCGTCGCTGTGATAGTGTGGATCGTTGCCATTTCCACCGATCATTGGTTCGTCGTAACAGGTGGTCAAGGTACGTACGTCTGACTCCGGCAATGTGTGTTTGTATGTGTGGTGTATCAACAACATTTCCTCGACCGCGAGCCGATTCTATTAGGAGCGGAACGTGAACACGTACGCATGGAGGATGGACTGAAATAATCTAATTTGGCCACGCGCTTTATAATTTTAGACTGCTCTCTCATTTCCTTCACCCCACTCTGATTGTCGGTCGGTGCGCGGCCGGCGTAGTGCAACTTAATTTGCATTCATGATTGCAACGATTTACCACTTGTGGAGTGAAAATTTGCGAATAATTAGCGGATAAATCGTTTGGAGCCGGAGAATTTTTCCTGAATTTTTTTGCCAGAACATTTTTTTGATGGCTGATTTGAACATTAAATTGAGGCCGGTTTTAATGAGATTTCTTTTCAAGTCAAAATACGGGATGAAAATAAGGACATACAAATGTTGTCAAATATTGTCTCAAAGTAGGACGATTGAATGATTTATCATTAGTTAATGTATTGCAATTAAAGATTCACGCAGCATGATAGATGATAACCATATTAATTTATGTCACCATGACTTGACCTGAGTTCTGTCTCTTTTAGAATAAAAAGTCTGGATTTGTCAGGATTTTTTTTTTTTAATAATAATGTTTTCATCAAAATATGCCAATTATGTTCAAGACGTTTTGATTTATTTTGTAATGAGTATGACTTTTCAGTCTCGACAAAATCAAAATACTACTATTTTATATTTTGTCCAACGTTTCGGTCCATTTGGGACCTTCTTCAGGGACTCAATAATTACAGTTTTCTCGTCTAGTGTGGTTCTGTGGAACCTGAAAATTGTCCAAGGTCAGAGTTTTCCCGCTTAAACGCAAACGGTTCGGATTCATTTATCCGTCGAAAACCCTTTCCATTTTTTTACGCTCTGGCATTACGTACTCAACGTTGGACAAAAAATTAAATAGCAGTATTTTAATTTTTCCGATACTAAAAAGCCATCACGCATCAATTCCCAGTCGAACCATTCCAAATATATTTATTTTAACAAAACAAAGTTATAAATTTGTTGCTTTTTGACATGCTTTGAAATAATATATTTATATTTATTATCGCACCAAGCTACTATAAATGTTGAGGTTTACATGATTATTTGAAACTAGAACTAGAAATTCTAGTATTCCATGCATTGTCAAAAATGTGTATCTGTATTAAGATTTCGGTCAATTTATACTGAATTCTCATTGGAATCCTCCAAACAGTCGGTTGACGGAAGAAGATGAGTGTGCAAGGCCAAAATACTTAGAATAAATTTTCATAGATGAGGAAATGCCAGTTCACCACCACTTTTTGTTATGGCTCAAACTTAAACCCCAAAACTTAACCGCATTGCTTGGTTCATCCATCAAATAATTCAAAAAGTTAAGATTTATTAACTTAAAAATTGTATTTTGAAATGTTCCGTGAGCGGTAAAATCATTAGATGCATCTCGACTACTTTGGGCAGCTTGAGCCCTATAATGGAGTCTTGTGGAACTCCCGCCGTGATCCTAAGCAATTTCTGCGCCGTGTCTGCCTCGTAGACCAGGACCCGGTTCTAGAAGAAACTACTTAGAATCCTACAGAGGTAGCCTGGAACCCTCATTCTATGGAGCGTCTCGGTGATGGCCTCCCAGCTGGCACTATTGAATGCATTCTTTACATCAATCGTAATCACGGCACAGTATCGATCTCCTTTCCGCTTCTGTTTGGAAGTTTTCTCGGATCTGTCAACCACTGTCCGAATTGCATCCACCATTGGTCTCCTTTTCCGGAATCTGAACTGCCTCTCCGACAATGCATGTTCACTCTCCGAGTATTTCGTCAGCCTGTTCAGAATGATCCTCTCCAAGAGCTTTCCTACAGTATCCAGTAAGCATATTGGCCTATACGATGCAGGATCCCTCGGCGGTTTTCCGGGATTCGGCAGCAGCACAAGTTTTTGTATAACCTATCAGGGAACTGACCCTCGTCCAGACATTTCTGCAACACCATCCTGAACATGTCCGGGAGCGACTGGATCGCCACTATCGTTCTCCTCATTTCCACCGGTGTCCGTTCTCCGATACTGTACCGGATCACCTGATGGTCACTATGGGTGTACTCTTCGCACACTCTCCAGTTCATACTTGCCACTAGCGGCAGAGCACAGAAAGTTACGACGATAATGGATTCCCTACCATCTTTGCCGAAGGTGCTGATGGTTCATAAGTTGCCCAGACTGACTTTCAACGTTGCCAGAGCTTACAGCAGACTATACCCTCTTGCGTTGGTACATCTGCTCCCCCAATCCACTTCCCAAGCATTGAAATCTCCTGCGGGGACGACTGGTCTCCATCCAATGGGCTCTCCAGTGAGCCTATCTAGCATCTGGTGGAACTGCTCCATTGTCCATCTCGGAGGTGCGTAGCAACTACATACAAAGATTCGATTGATTTTGACGATCACGAAACCTTCGTATAAGCCCACCACCACTTGTTGAATGGGATACCTGTCCATGACTTGTATGGTAGTCATTCCTGCTCTATCCGCCACCCAGGTACCATTATCGAGAGGGACTCGATATGGCTTTGCAATGATTGCAACGTTGAATTTTGTTTACGATGTCGACTGCCACAACAGTTGCTGTGCTGTGTTACAATGATTGAGATTTATTTGGGTTACCACCATTATTATTGGCCCACCATCCTCCTTTTTACAGAGCATGCACCTCGGTTGTTTCGTACAGTCTTTTGCATTTCCTGCACATATCAGATCTGTCAGGGCCTTTGCAGTTTCTCACCTTGTGACCCAAGCTTTACTGGCGTCGATCCCAATGTTCCGGTTGGTACTCCTTCGGGTTGACGAAGCATTTCCTCTATAGTCGTGCTATGGTTAACGCGCCAGTTTACGTATGTAACGTATAAAAATGTAATAGTGTATAGGTCTTGAAAATCATAGCTGAACCACTTAATAAAGCCCAGCATACTACTTGCTTTCGTAATGATGGTATTATAATGTTCTACAAAAGTGAGTTTGGAGTCTAGGATTACACCTAGGTCCCTACCATTTTTCTACTTTTTGGTTGCCTAAAAATATTTAAAAAAGAGTTTGAGTAGACATTTATTACCTTAATGCCTTGATGAGAACCCTAAGGCACCCCAGAGGTGACCGAAATGGGTTTTGAACGTTTATTTTGAAAAAGAACTATTTGTTTGCACGCGATTAGAGCCAATTAAAAAGTCTAGATTCCATCCCTATTTTTTACAATTTAAAGAGAAATAATGGTGTGTCGATTCGGTCAAATGCTTTTCTTAAGTCAGTATAAAGAGCTTATAGAGGGTGTATTCGATGAAAATGGCACACACACATTTAATCACCAAAATTATACCGATAATCGGATCGGAAATTTTCAGGGAATGAAAAACTACTAATGAGTATAGAATGAGTAAAAAAAATATCAAAAAATCAAATCTCACCAAAGCCCAAGATCACGTAGACAAAAATCAACAAGCACACAACTGCGGTTGATATTGCAAGCTGTGAATATCAAGCTCGGAATATCAAGTTAACAAAACTCATCAGCTGCAAATCTCTCCAAACTTTGGTGAGATTGAGTTTCTTAATTTTTGCTTTACACCCGAATGCAACCGAAACTTCCATAACGGCTGGCAGCAGTCGTTTCGTGTCTGCCATCGGTGAAGATAATAAAGAGAGCATTAGTATACCTTCTCTTTCTAAGAAAACGAGGTGCAACGGAATCATTTTTGCGTCCATTCAACTCTCAGCTTCTATCGAGGCTTCAACTTTACACTTTGTTAATAGTCATATTGCGAGACTTGTAAAATCAATATTAAGCATCAAGCGTGAGATTGAGAGCGTATGAGGGCTGCAAAATATCAATTTGCTCATGATCATGCCATCACTGGTTATGTTTTACAAAATTAGTTTTATTCAATTTTGTCTCCCATCTCGAATGCCAGCACATTCCTTTTCGCTCCACCCATCAAATTTTGTACAACTGATTTTCCCAGTGTTTTTGTTGTTTTTACCCAAATTTTCTTCAACTCCAACTCTGTTTTAATAGTTTTGGGATGTTTGCGAAGTTCCGTCTTCATAATTGCCCAAAATTTTTCAATTGGCCGAAGCTCCGGTGAATTTGGTGGGTTCATATCTTTTGGCACAAAATTGACTCCGTTTGCTCCGTACCACTCCAACACGTTTCGAGCGTAGTGGCAGGTGCTAGATCAGGCGAAAACTGAGTTGATCCTTTGTGCTTTCTTATGAATGGCAAGAGACACTTCTTAAGGCACTCTTCCGTGTAAATCGCACCGTTGATTGTTCCGGAAGTGATGAAGGGAGCGCTTATTTCACCACATCCGCAAATCGCCTGCCACATCAGGAAATTCCTTGCAAATTTCGATAATTTCTTCTTTCGACCATCCTCCGGAACATCGAACTTAGACTTGGCAACGAAATATTCTTGCCCAGGAAGTTGACGGAAGTCGGCCTTGACGTAAATTTCGTCATCCATCACGATGCAACACGATTTGGTGAGCAACTTCGTGTAAAGTTTCTGGGCACGGGTTCTCGTAGTGATGTTTGGCTTTTCACTCCGGTTTGGCGCTTTTTGCAACTTGTAAACATGTAACCCAGCACGCTTCATGGTTTTCTGCACAAAACCGACTGACACCTTGGACTTTTTAGCAACATCTCGAATTGACATGTTTGGACGGGCCATGAACGGTTGCACCACTTTCCTGGCCATTTTACTGTCCATTGGACCACTTTTACGACCACTCATTTCCTTCCTTCGGACACTCAGACGCTCCTTGAAGGTTCTTATTACACGAAACACAGCCGTATTTGCAATTCTAAGCTTTTTAGCGATCCATCGGTGGGACGCATCTGGATTGTAAGTGCACACAATGTTTTGACGGGCAATTTATTGTTTCGACGACATGACTGGAACTACTGTATGAATAACTATGAAACTTGACAGATG